CAGAAAGTCAAACCTCTGTGCCATGATCTCCTATGACATCCTTTCATAAAATGTCAGTAATTACTTTCTTGTACTTATTATTGGATTATTTATAACCAATAGAAAGACAAGATTTCAATCCATTGATTCTTATATAAGGCTAGCTTATTTTCATGATAGGTTTTAAATTATTTGGCCCACAGATTCAATGTTGCCATTGCCAAAACCACCTTTACATAACAAGGGAATTATTTTAATTCACTTTTGTTAGAATTGTTAATTTTAATCATTTTAGTTAGAAAGCCAGTTAAATTATAATATTTTTAAGTTTGTTTTGTTTTTTGCATGTTAATATTTTGTGTTCTTAACTGCATATTTAGAATAAATAAAAATTATTTGATGTACTACTGCCACCATTATAAACAAAATAAGTTTAAGTTTTGTTGAGGGCCAAGAGCAAAAACACAAAAGGCCAAAAGTAAGTGCTAAATTGGATTTTTTATATATAGTTTTAATTTATTGTTAGAAAAGTAACTAAAATTAAAAATTAGAAACTTATTAGGTTACATAAGAAAACATAAATGAAAAATCAAATTAAATTTCTCAGAGAAGTATTCCTGCAAGATGATCATGCATTACATAATTCAATACTTTGTTTACCACAACCTGAGCTACATGCTCGCTAAGTGATTTATAGCTCTGTTACACAGGTTTAATAGTTAGACGCAGTTCATAGAGCAATAAAGAAATAAAATTAAATGAAAACAGATGTAAGCTGTTATGAGCCTGTTTAGAATAAATAAATAACTTTCTGTTACAACCTGTAGTTATTTTTGTGGTAGTTACAAGGTCAGTCAAATGGACCAAGTGTATAAAGTGTTAGGATAGACAACTATAACAGATGGATGTGTATAAATTCTGATTTTTTTGTGCATAACATACTTGTGATGTTTACTAAAAGCTTACAAATGGTTTTGGAGATACACTTAGTAAATTTGGAATTAAAGTGAACATTAATTATCCAATGAGAGATCTGTGTATGGACCAACACTGCGTATGTAGGGTTAATGAAGAAAAACAGCCATTATCTAGTGAAAATAGATAATCTAGTAACGATGAGTCTTCTTTAACAGTTTTCAAACAGAAAAAATGACAATTTTGTTCTACCATTTATTTCTTTATCTAACAAATCAAAAAGTTGATTCTGAAAAATCAACAGCATTTATTTGAAAGTTTTTAACTTGCTGTCACAATGGTAAAACAGTTAAGTTAAATGAAAGTACTGATTAGTTAAGTAAGTGATTTATGTTGACTATATAGTAAACCACTTATTTAACTTTTGCCTTAGACATTCTGTGATCATGAAGAAGAGGATTCAAGTGAAGCATCAAGCTAAAGACAATATTAGTTCTGTAGTTACTACTTTGACTCCTGCAACAACAACTAAACACACACACACACACAAAAAGAGTATGCCTACTGAATTTGATGATGATAAAGCTGATAGTATGCGAAGAAGATTGAAGTATTTCATCATTCTCCAATCCAAGTACATCATCATTCTTCATTATGGTGGTCCAAAAACATAAAAATGAAAAATTATTTTGCATGATATTTGCCTATATTCCACTATCCCTAATGATGTTGGAAATAGAAAACTGGATTCATTTGTGCATATTTAGAGGTGGTGCAACTTGAACACTTCAATATCATTATACATTATAGGGAAAGACAAACAAACATATGCTACTGTGGTTTTTATTCACTAACAAAGCTGCAAAAATCACTAGTAAAGTGAATTAAATTTTAATAGTGTCCTGCATATCTGAATAGCATATAACTATAATAATAATAATACAATAATTTATCATATCACTTATGACATCAAATTCTCCTTTCTGGAGTTCAGAAATGTCTTGTTGTAGGTTAACTGTGTGGAGAAGGTATTTCTTTTGATCTTCATCCTTAGTGATAGAAGAGTTAAATACTTGAATCGGAGCAATACCTCTCTCTCCACAATCATTCACAACTTTCAACCTGCCAGATGCCTTCTGCATTTCTTCGTATTCCGGAATTTCTTTCAATTCTGCCAGCTCTTTTTCCAGGAACATCTTTGCTTTCTCTTTCCCATTTAAGTTTAAGATGTTGAACATGTTAGGAGTCCTCTTTGTTACATAGAATTGCAAAGGAGCTTTGATATTGCAGTTCTTCCCCTCTAGTCAATGAAGGTTTTCTTTCTTCTCTGGAATATTGAGATTCTTCACTATTTCACATTAATTAGTTATCTGAACTCTTCCATGAAACAAAGCCAAACCGAACAAGTCTTCTGACAACTAACATAAAAGTCATTTGAAGCTAGATATTGCAGCAGTTGCAGCTGAACGATTTGGATATGCAGATAACTTTAACATCATGTTGAGGTCACTGAAGGGTGCAACAATTGAAAAATGGTGACATCATATGGCATGATGCTGGATTGCTGCCTATTAAATGCAGAAGCTGCATGGTATGTGACCCAACTATATTGAATTATAAAATACTGTAGTAATAATATAACAAACTTATAAGAACATGCAACAGTATGATTGTTTGCAAAACCAATAAACAAAGGTAAGTAAGAAAATTAACTGGAAAAGTAAACTTATTTTTCAAATTTGCTCTACCCTTAAATATTAATGTACTTAGTTCAAAATTCAGTCTGAGGAATGAAAAAATGCACCAGGAGCTCTCATTCGCACCTTTTCATTTTTTACCATATATGCATGGACCACCCTACTCCTTTTTCTATGTAAATCATAAAGTGTCAGAAGCCTGTAACAAGTTGGCATTACTAGATTCATGGATAAATGTTGCCTGACCAAATCACGAGCTTCACTGCTTCTTTTCTTGGCTTTATATACAAGTAACAATCCTTTCCACATTGTTGAAAATACTTACATAGAGGACTTCTTTCACAATGCATATATCTGCAAACTTCCAAAAGTGCATGCAGTCTGAGTTGATTCATGAACACTTTGTAAATTTTATATTGTTATAAAATAAACTACTATATACAAGATATAGTAGAGATCATATAATTTTATTTTTGTATATGTAATACCTATTTCATTGTAATTCTAATTAGTATAATTCATAATTAATATTATTAATAATTATAGTTCATTTCAAGCAGCTTTGAAGACTTATAGCAGATACTATGTTAAATTGCTAAAATGTGCTCACTTGATTCTTGTGAGAACTAGAATATTTTGTAATCATTCCACAATAACTTCAGGATAAGAAAACGTTCTAAGCACACTTATTATCATCAATTAGGTAAATTAACAGATGAAATATTAGGCTTCCGTGAAAAAACATTCATTTTGGAGGTTCTATAGCTTAGGCAAATTTAAAACTTTATTTGCAGAACTTATCATGCTAGAAACCTGAATGTACTTGTTACATTACTACCCGACAAATACTACATTTGTATTCTAAGCCTACATTCATATTCCAAGAGCAGCATACCAACTGTGAACAAGTCTTGGTTTGATTTCTATCAAAGCTGATAATATGTAAGTATGAAAGTTTCATAGAAGTCCTTACTATTATTATAGTAATAACTGTTTTATAGTTTTTGCTATGGTGTCAAAAGACTGTTTGATCTTTGGCTGATGATTCAGCTATATTTAAAAGTATGAGGGCAAGGAAAACTTTTTTCTTCTGATGAAAATTAAGGCTGAACTATGTGACAGTTGCATTGATAATTTTTTAGCCCATGCTGGCTTATAGAAAGTAAATGTTCAATTTAAAATGCTTTTAAAGAATTCTATGGATTTATCAAGAAAACACTGGCAACTCCAAGATCTATCTCTCTTACATACATACACAGATACATTCATGGAGATAAATAAAATATTTACTTAAATAATTTTTGTTAAAGCTCACAATTAAAATGTGGCATGTATTGGCATTATTCATACACACAAACATTTGAAGAAATTTGAACTATGATAGTGAGCAACAAATATTACAACCTTCATAACACATGGTGGTCAAACTGGATAACATATGAAAAAGGTAACAATAAAGTTTCAAAGCAGATGAATTATTACAGATTAAATGGAAGTATATGAAATAACCAGTAGAAACAAATGAAATAAAGTTAAAACTTACTGTTTTAGACTGTATGATTTACCGAGTTTAAAACAGTGTTTAAATCAATATGTACTTATGGTATTATGCATATTATTTCATATTGTTAATATTTTTGACACATTTAAGCTTCTTTCTTTTTAACTGGGTATAATAAAATCCAAAAGAAACTGCTTTATTGTTCACAATCTCTTACGACATTCAATAAATGCACTATGCTACTATCCTCTTCTTAGAATGTGATGCTCTCAAGAATAATTAATTATGAAATATCAAATGCACTACAGTACTGTACTTGGAAATTTTACTCGTATATTCATAATGGTATTTATATAACTACACATATGCTCACAACATAAAAAATGTACACAACTTAACAACAGATTATTTCACACAATGCATACTAGGATCAATGATAAAACACATGTAAACATCAAACTATATATAGATCAGAGATGTTGCTGAAGTTTGTAGAGCTTCATATACATATTAAAAATCCTTTCACACTACTATATATATGTATATATATATATACTAAAAATAATTTTATTCCAGAGTGAGAGGGGGAAGACAAACACAGATCACCTCCATATCTATGACCAGTAAATGGTAATAAAACAGTAGTCTAAGAGCTGATGAAATAAATGCTTGTTTTAATAAAGTTTCCTTTTTTTGGTTTACAAAACACAACATTTTTAAAAGAAAAGCAGTTATTTACCAGTGAGATAAAAAATAATTATGCACACAATATTTGTTTGAAAACAAGATGTTATCAAGAGTAAGTAGAATGATCAGTGCCATTGTATATATATATCTAGTTTCTAATTCTTTACTGTACACCAATAGAATTCAATCAAATTAGTAAGAAAAAAAAATTCTGAACTTACTGCCGTTCACGGAGAACAGAAGTGATTTTTCAGCTGTAGTGGGTTCAGATGAAAAATTTACATCTTCAGTTCTTGCAACATTCTGTACCAGAAAACACAATATTTTTTGCTCTTGAAAGACTTTGTGTACATAAGAATTTTTCCAAACTTGTCCATAAGTTTAAAAGTAAGTATTATTTTAGATTTTGAATGTCATTAATTTAGAGCATTTTTGCCACAGAAGGATATAAATGAAAAGCTAATCTTAGCACAATACAAGTCTGGTAGACACTGCATAATACTGTAAATGAATGTCAAAACTATGTTTCTGGTATAGTTAATGAATCAGCTAATAAGGAATCCTTACCTATCACCATAATGTATGGTATAACTGACAAGGTCAAATCACTAACTGATTGAATATTTATCTATCTGTATTTCTAACTATTGTGAAAAACTACTAAAGAAATTAAACATATTAAAACATTCAGTAAGACAATATTAAAATTTACACAATACGTTGAAAATCTTTAAGACACCAGGTCTTACCTAATAATTTCTACATATTTCTATTAGTCACTGACCCACCATCATCCAGAAGGAGACAGCAGTGAAGAACCCTATTGCACTGTTTATATATCTTGAAACATGTTGCTATTGACAGAGGATTTATTGGTAACATCACTGATATAATTTGTAATCAGTTGTGTAACAAATTAAAATTTCACAATGTATTAATCTTATAGTTAGTAGGGTTGAAAGAAAGAATAATTGGTCTGCCATATGTTCAAATGATTTCCTCATATACGGGTAATGTTTTCATGAAATATATTACTCGTCACATAACATTTCCACCATGGGTTAGTCATTTTACAATTTGCTACAAAGATAAAATCAAATTAATAGATAAATGTGGTATTCATAAAAACTCTTGTAACTGTGGTCAAATGTATATTGGTCAAACACATAGACATTCAAAAGTTATAATTTTCCTATACTGAAAATGTATTTCCAATAGGTACTTAGCTCTTCTTACATAAATAGCTATTCTTGTTCAGTGCTGTGCTCTATATGCAAAATTTTTTATTTTGCATGCCACAAGCCTTGAAACTCCCACCCATCTGGAATTGACTAATTCAAATGCATCTTGCATGCAATTTATTATGCGACAACCCTTCGCCAATAAGGGAGTGACACTCTCTTGATGCACGTGACTCCTTCTATTTAATTCTAACGAACTATCACTTCGGGTGTTGGCAGTAAATGGAAGCACCAGTTTTCAGTGAGGAGGAAGGGTGGGAATTGTGAGGTACCTATCAGAAATATATTTTCAGTATAGGAAAGTTATAATTTCTAATATGGTACATTACCTCTTCTCACATGAGAAGCTAGAATCCCACATTGAATAGGTGGAGGGACTGATCCAAGGGAAAGAAAGAAGCATCCTTCGAAAGTGTCTCAAGGACACTCCCCAAAAGTAAATCTTCACAGTCGAAGATTGTACGTGGGAGACTGCACCACTTCTGAACCAGGTATACTCTTTGCCCATTGTGGAAAGATGTCACATACATGGGTGGAAAGATGATGGAGAACATTCAAATGGGAGAGAACTATGGCAGGATAGTGATCCAAACCATATATTATTTATTAAACTCAATCCCTGAAAACAAAAGAGTGGGTAACATTAAAGGATGTGACTCTAGGTGTAGAGTGGCTAGGGCATGATGGAACATGCACAGCAAGTCAACTACATCTAAAACCCATGCTACTGGGAACCGAGATCCACAAAGGGGTAGAATGAGGGTCATAATGTTGATAAGTCAATTACAATCCAAAACCCAGCCACCAGGTACCAACATCCATGTGGGGGTAGGAAATAGGATCAAACCACTGGCAAGTTGTCTACAATCCAAAACCCAGGCCACTGGGAACTGACATCCAAAAGGAGGTAGGAAAGAGGATCATATCATCTTCACATCCAGTTCATGAGACCAGAGGGAATCTCATACTCCCTGACCTATGAATGGGCACATGATACCAATGTAAGAAATTGAATGATTGATCAGGGAACCCAACATCTGGTATCAAAAAGATGTCTGTGTAATGTAAACTATCTCATTCAAAGATATAATGATTGGAACAACCCCACATGCAGTAACATTCTCAGAATAATAAGCATTGAGGGATAGTGGAAGAAGAAGAAGAACCATAGTAATCTTGCAAGTACCTCCACTCTACCTCACAACACGGATGGAGTAAAAAGAGTATAAATGAGTGATGGAACAGAAACATCTGTGATACATGTGTGAGGACTTAAGTTGATTGGTTCAGCTCTAAATCCAAAATCTAGCCACTGGGGAATAACATCCACATGGGGGTAGGATGATGGATCCCAATCAAAGTGGTGAACTGCAACTTTGATGGCCCACTCCCATGTTACAGAGTGGAGGATACCTCATCATCATCTACACCAGCAGAACACCACCTCCCTACTCTCAACTGAATGGTTATATAATAATTTATATATATTATTTGTATTTCATTAACACATTCAGGAGAATGCCTCCACAGTTTACCACTCCAGTAGCTTGGAACTGGAAAGTGGTAAGAACTCTCAAACTCCATTAGAAGAAAAGGGGAAGATAAAGCTTGGTGGAGAGACTGGAGGAATGATGACACCTGAGACAGTGCAATGGGTGATCACGAAACCCTGTTTTGAAAAGCAGACCATACCGATTTATTCAACACAAGGTATGACAGGGATAGGCAGCTATCCCCTTTTGCTTTACCCACATAGTCCATGGTTGAGTACAGTCCAAGATGGGCAAACTAATGAAGCAAAAATATTGCAAGGGTAAACCTACAAGAGATCTTGTGTAACACCCCATCTCCACAGTGTGCATTGCATGGCCACGGAATCATAATATGTAAGTCGACATGGTCTTACAATGCAGATTTGAATGGTTAAAGAATATCTAATCAGGTACCAATTGCCACAGAGTGGGATCCAGAAAAAAAAGGGGAATATGCTCCTGAAAAAGAAGAGGTATATACATTAAAAGGTAACTGTCACAGTCACAGTTAACTGTCACTTATCCATTGTCGAGATCAATATCCCTAGTGCTCAACTATTTTTTCTTGCCTCATACATATTAGTTTGATAGACAGTTAAATTGCATTTGGGTTTCACTTTTATAAAATATACAAAGCATCACCTTGCTCTATAAGGCTTAAGTTACCAGGCATGTAGAAAAAGACTGTGCCAGAGGCTAAAGTAACTATGCTATTCATATCTTTCTATCGCCCATTGATACCTGTTGACATGTGTGGACACAAATAATCAACAGTAAAGCAAAGGAAAATAAAACATTAAAATTAAACTGTTAGAGAAAAAGTAAAAATGTGATAGATTCTATACATTATGAAAATGAAATATAAAAACTGTAAGATAATAAATAGTATTTTTTTATACTAAAAATTAAAATCACTTTGCAGGTGAATTATTCATAGTCCGAGTGCAAATAATTACATTAAATAATGATTTTTTTTTTTATTAGAAATAGTAGAAAAAATCAAAATTAGATATGTTATTTCTTTGAAACTACATACTCTTAAAAAGGTTTTTGTCAAATTTCAAATAAATTCATCCACTAGTTTTATTTTTAGAATGAAATATAATGATAGTGATGGTAGGTCATACTTATCCAGTAACTAAACTGAAATACACATCACAAAAAATATGCCACTGTCCAATTCAATACTTAACTCTTTCAATACGGGGTCGGTCAGTGCGATGACCTAGTAACCATTTTGTGCTTGTTATATTTTTTCACGCTATAACTTTTAAATTCGTATGCAAATGTTAACGACATTTGGAAGATTATCTGTAAATATTACAATGCTTTCATATGCAAAATATCTAATTTTTATATTAAGTTGTCAGTTTGTAAAGCAATGTTCTCTCTTTTTTTTTTTTCTTATCACATCTTGCCTATCT